AGCAAGCAGAAGAGATAAATGCAGCCTTTCCCCTCATGGAGTCCCTCCTGCTTGCTGTCATGATTTGTGGCCTGTCAAGGAGGTTTGGTGACCACTGCAGGCCACTCAGTAGCTCTTTTAACTTCAGGTCAATGGCCACAGAACCTGGGGATCAACCAGTCTGAGGGAGCCTGGACCTCTTCTCTCCCTGTCACCTACCAATGCTAGATACATTTTGCTGATTGTTAACTTTCTGCTGCCACTGGAGTTTGATTTTGTGAGCACATTGGTGATAGTGCAGTTTTGTATGAGGCCAAATGAACTCAATGTAGGTAAAAAAAAAAAATCTATCTTTTTAGTTTTTAAAGGGAAGATTAATGAGTCATCGTTATTTTGCTTTTAAGTTGACAGATGATTTTTGGCAACAAAAGTCACGTGGTGATTAAAAAACGTTTTCATATTTCTAGCTGCAAAATGCTTTCACCTGCCGTAGCATCTGTTGCTTTTATAATGGTAACTTTCTCTTCCATCAGCCAAGGTCACTTTCATTTTAAATAATAGAGCAAGTTTATTTCAGAGATTTCATCCAGTAGCACATGGCTGAGATTGTGAGCTCTATCTTAAAAAGGAGAGAGATGAAGGCGTGGTCCCCTTAGCATGGCATCCCCAGCTTTGAGAGGTTCATGACTGTTGATGGCTTGCTGGAGTATGTTTTAATAGCAAACATCTTTTAATTGACAGACTACATTGTTAGCATTGGAGTGTGTGGTCATAGATAGATGGAAGGCACCACTCATAGGTCCCACTGCAGTCTGTCTCCTGTGGGAGGTCTGCAGCCTGGGCACCTATCTGATGGCAGGAGCCTCCGAATAGGGAGTGCCTCCCATCAGAAGCTCAGATATTAGGGCTGTCTGGCTTCAGAGAACCAATAATAGCACAAGACAATGGAAGATATTTGAGCCTTTATTCCATACCTGATAGAGCAGGAAATCAAGGGAATGACAACCTTCCATCCTCTTTTTCCTTCAGAATAACTCAGTCTAGGCTGGGGCTAAGCACAGCTGCAGACATGGGTCTTCGCCTTGCTGGGACATCTGAAGTTGGCTATTCTTGTTTTCGTAAATCTTGACATGGGGGGGGGGGCTGGAAGCAAGGGCTTGGAAGGGGAAGTTTGGGTCAACATGGGTCTTCGCCTTGCTGGGACATCTGAAGTTGGCTATTCTTGTTTTTGTAAATCTTGACATGGGGGGGGCTGGAAGCAAGGGCTTGGAAGGGGAAGTTTGGGTCGGCGTGGGCAGTCTTTGGGGTCTCTGTCACCTGCCCTAGAACTCTCACAATGGGCACCAATCTGACGGGACTGCAGAGAAGCTAGAGGGCTGGCTAGACCTTCTTGTCTATATCTTATGGCCTATGAAGGACTGTGCTGTGGAGCTAAGAGTCAGGTGTCCTGGACAACTTGTTCCCACAGGTTCCTGGCTGGGTATGACTTGGGTCTACTAAGGATAAGAGACAATGCTGTGTGGTAGAGAGCCAGGTACCCAGCAGCTCCTGGCTAGGCAGGACTTTGGTCTTGCAAGGATAAGGACCATGTTGTGGAAGCAGGGGGAGACTTTACATTCCTCTAGTCGACCTCTACCACCTTGCTTTGCAGTGTGGGTTTCTTAGGAATCTCATAATTGGATCCTCCATGTCTGCCTGAGGCCCCCTTGTCTGACCAACCCCCTGAACTTCTGGCATCTCTTCAGACCACTGAGCGGAGCATGTGTGTAATTACATTCTAGCTATATTTTCTGTAGCCATAGTGAAATGGGTCTAAGTAGACCCTTGGGTGGAGGTGGGGGTGGGGGAGACCCCAAGAAAGAAGAAACATTCAAATAGGTCTTGAAGTATATCAGAATATTAAAAAATGTTCTTGTTAGCTGACTTTACATCCCAAAGGCACTGACAGTGTTTTGGCTCCCAGCACTGTTTTATGGTGACTGGAAGATATCAATATGTTGGCTCAGCTGTTTACACATGGCTACTTCTACCAGGGACTGCCCGTAATGGGGGTGGGGGGTGAATATGGTGGCACACCTGTGCAGTGCTCCATTCTCTGGGTGTCTTGATTAATTGGATATTGGAAGCTATATGAGGGTGAGGCTGTTGTTGAGTCTGTAACTCATTATGACTAAAGCAAACACACAGGGGGATTGTGACTCATTGCCGTATCAATCAGACTGCGGTACCAGGGAACTGGCACCAGACAGAAGGGCAGAAGGGCAGAACACAACCCTTGCTTGTTTCACCAATTGTCCATGATATGTTTCTGCTTTCTTGGTAGCCCTGGTTTAAAATGTGTGCATGACAACACTGGAAAGTCGACTGCACACAGAGCAGAAATGATCAGATCAAGGATACAGATGACATGAAATACATGCAAGGCTGTGGGCAGCCAGGATGCTCACTTGCTGGGTGGAAATGCAGCAGGAAGATGGCCAATAAGTTTCTTTAAGAGCCAAGCACAGCTGGAGAGGTGCCTCAGTGCACAAAGGACTTATCCCCCAGCTGAGAACAAGAGGTAGATCCCTGGAATCCCCAGAAGCTGGACATGGAGGCATGTGTCTGTAATCCCAGCTCTCCTACAGTGAGGCGGAAGAGGGAGATAGGAGACTCTCTGGAAGCATCAGCCGTCTGCTGTATGCAACGGCAGATCAGAGACTCCTCTATCTCAAACAATATGGAAGTAAAGGGCTGGTACCTGAGGTTGTCTTCTCACCTCCGTGTGTGTGCCATGTCACATGCCTGCCTGCGCCTACACACACGATTATGCATACATAGCACACACACTTGCAAAGATTAAAAACAAACAAAAATAATTTTCCCATGACCACATGACCCATCCCTTACGCTGTGTTGTTTAACCAAAGGAATTGAAAACATGCCCATGAAAAAGTGCATGTAAATGCTTATAGCAGCTTTGATCAGAATTGTCAAAACCTGGAAGCAACCAAGATGTTGTTATTCAGTAGACGAGTCGAAAGCAAACTGTGGTACATCCTTATAATGAAATATTACTCAGTGATAAGAAGAAATGTGTTATTGAGTCATAACAAAGACAGGAAGCAAATTGCAAAGCAGGTTGCCAAGTGGAAGAAAACAACTGAACAGGCTACAAATGATGCTTGCAATTACATGATGTTCTGAAAAAGGCCAAACTGTTATGCTTTGGGATCAGTGGTTGGTGTATGTGGGAGGAACAGAATGGGAAAGGTGGAGCAGCTGGAACTTTCCTGTTAAGAAATTCTTGTGTTGGATGCTGTGTGGATACATCCTACATCTATCAAAATTCACAGGTTATACACCAGGAAGGAGCCCACAGAAGGGATGTGTGTCAGTATGAGCTCATGGTTGGTGACATGCAGCACCCTGGGGAAGGTGGTAATGACAAGGGAACTGCCATGGGCTGGAGGGGGAGCACCGTAGCTGCTGCCTAGTTGCTCTGTAAGTGTAATTTTAAAAGACAGCGTGTGTCCCTCTTAGGGAATTTGTAAATATGGAAAGACAGGAGAGAAAATTAACCATGATTCTGCCACTTGGACACACTCACAGCCAGGACCTGCATTCGTGGTTTTTTCCCTGCTATGTATGTTTGTGTTGTTGTTTTGTTTTGTTTTTTTATCTGACTTTACGATATCCAGTACTTGCCTGATGCCTTCAGATTTGTCTCTCTCGTATGGATATCTCCCCTGAGGTCCAGATTCAACACTCTGTCCCTGAGCGTATGCAGAACTCAGCCCTATCTCCTGATTGTTGGCATACAAAAGGCATCCACACTGGGACCATGGCAGGAACTCTGAGTGGACCTCCTGGGCATCTGATCCTGCCCACCATTCTGCACCAAACCTCATTATCCATACCTGCTTAGCCTGACGTCATCCTCAGCCAACCCCATCTCCTCCACACCCCATCCCATCCACACTTCCCTGCTCCCCTCTGCTTCCCAGCTTCCTCCGAGCTCCCATATCCTGTGGGCAGCATCTGTCCCAGAACTCTTATACTTGCCTGAGCTTCTTCCCAGTGGCCAGCACGCCTCACTCTCCCATTCTAGAATGATTGAGCCCATGTGTCCTCATCTCACTAAAGGTCAACCTGCCAAAAACTGAGACACACTCACCAGTTCTTCACCCCCTTGACTTAAACCCATCATCTTATACCATAAAACCAATAGATGAGATGTGGGTCAATCATATACTTCCTTTCTCCTGAAAGCAGGCCTTCCGACTGCTCATTGATTAGCATCCTGTCAGTTCCCAAAGACAACTGATTTTATGGCTCTATGGTAGATGTTTAAAAGTGAGTTTGCAGCCTAAATTACTTACTCTCTGTAGCGTTGGTATCCTTCCTTGATTCTGTGTTTGGAACATCTGGGAGAGCCTGAGTGGATGCTTATTTTCCATGGGTGGTCAGTATCCTGAGCCCCAGTGCTCTGGGAACCCCTCTGGCCCTGGCCTAAAACCAGCCAGCCCTTTTTTGTTTTGTTTTTCCCAGGGTTTCTCTGTGTAGCTTTGGAGCCTGTCCTGGAACTAGCTCTGTAGACCAGACTGGCCTTGAACTCACAGAGATCCTCCTGCCTCTGCCTCCTGAATGCTGGGGTAAAGGTGAGTGCCACCACTGCCCAGCACATCCATTTCTTTCTTTAGAGCCTCCCCACCCTGATTCTCTCGGCGCCCTCCCTCTGCCATGTTAGGCTTCAGCACAATCCTCATGGTCACTTCAAATGACCTACACACATGTATAGTACAGTGACACTATTTTCCTTTACAGTGTGCATGTCCTGGATCCTTTTTGGTGACTTCAGAAGGGTGACACTCTAAGCATCACACAGTGACATGTGTGCTGAGTGACAAGATTCATTCTGGGGACATTGCTAACCAGTCCACGACATCAATAAAGGGGCAGTGCTACTCTTACATTTTGAGAGTATTGTTATCTGAAATGGAAGTGTGTCGAATGTGCTAACCCTGGTCTCTCTTCCACAGGTGGTTGCCATAACAGCCTTAAGCCAATCAGCAGCGGTCCCACCATCACCATTACTGCTGCCGCTGCTACTGCAGCTGCTGCCATGGTCTCTGTGGACCCTGAGGAACTCCGGGGCCTGTCCCCTTCCATTGTGCAGCCCTGCCATTTCCTGACGTTGACCCCCATCAGAATTCCGCTCCGGACTGCTCCATTCTCAG